ATAGGTTTCAAAATGCGGTTCCAAAAGGAACATGTTACTTTTTAAATTTTTCATTAAAAATGCAGAATGATGATGATACTAGAAAGAAATTATTTCTTTTAGAGTAACTACTTAAAATTACTCTTTAGAAGTGACTACTTAAAGAACAAAATAACTGATAATAATAAAACTAGAGTGATTAAATAACATATACGGTTTACATGCGAAAATGTTTAAAAATATAATTTTTATTTAAAAATAAATTAACATTTAAGAATAAAATTGTTTGCAGATAATCACTCGCATTTTGTTTCACAATAACAACGAACATAAATGCGTGTTGGGCAAGCCTGGACGAAGTATTACTCGAGTTGATTTTGGTACCACCAAAAATAATTTAAAAAACATATGTCGACCTTACAACGTTTATAACTATTCAAATAACTTTCATTTCATCTCTGACTGAATTTACATTGAAAAATGGCCAGCTTGCTTAAATGCAGGCGCACATTCTTCTTAAAACGTTTGCTACTTTACATTTCAACTGTGATGGAATTTATGTCTGAGACTCTTAGTTTGCTCATAGCTCATATGCAAGTGCGCATTCTGCTTAGTTTGCTGGAAATGGGCATATAACTCCCGAGCTAAGTTTCTTGAGAGAAATACTTTTTTTTAGACTAGAAAACTAAATACTTCTAGACTAAAATTGTTGAATTATATCATCGCAGCAATTAAACAAATTTTCGCTGGTTGCTGGGGAACTGAACATTAATTCTTATAAACGAAAAGTGATAAACACAATAATCACGGCAAGACGCCACTATACATATTTTCTGTTGAGAAATGGTTACTGAAACTGCTGCAACTGGATAGAGCGACAGCGCTCGACGATGCCGCATCGGTTCYGTGCTGACGCGAACCACTTTTTCAGGTTTATGAGACCAAAAAAAACTTTTAAGTGGGCAAACGGGGTTGCAGCTGGWGCGAAATGCGCACAACTGTTTCTGTTTTATGAGACGGTTCCATAAAGAACGGTTTAAGTCGGCATACGGCGACAGCGAGACAGATCGCTCGACGATGTCGCATCGGTTCTGTAATGAAGTGCGCACCGCTGTTACGGTTTTATGAGACGGTTCCAAAAGAAACCGGTTAAATCGGCTAGCTGTAACTACGGTTTCAGGTTACACGTTTGGAACACTGTTATTTTAGCGGTTACGTTAAATACCGATCATCCCTACTATTTAATAAATTTACTTATTTTTATTGTATTCTTTTCCTTCCTGGGTTTCAGTCAAAGTGTGAAATTAAAAATTGTATATCGTTTATTTCATAACGTTTTGGCGAGACAACAGCGCCATCATCAAATTTAGAATTCATACAAACTCAGAATTGGCAAACATTAGATTCTTTTAGGTCTTTGCTGTCTTGAAACCTCAAATTTGTTCGAATTATTGTCTACATTAGGCAAATATTTAAACATTTTCATTTATAATCTCAGAAAATCCATCGTTTTTTAAATTTCACGCTTCATTTTTGCCACCCGAACGTGTACAGCTTCAAAAATAAGTAACTCTTTCCATTAGCTTGCGTATGTCTGAAATGAGCAGATTTGTTTTATTAAAGAATAACCCTTAAACCGTCTCTTTTCCGTAAAGAATGGACAACTTAGTAATTATTGAAAACATTTATTTAATAAAATAAAATCTATCTAAAAAAGTTAACGGAAAGTCATACTTATGTTCGAAGCAGAAGACGCGCGCCTGTGAGCAAAATGGAGGGTTACAATTTGAAAAATGTTAGTTTTTGTAAGATTTTATATGGCAAGTTTGATATTTTTGGAAAAATTTGTATAAAAATAGAATTTGGTACTTTCTATCTTAAGTAAATTTCGCCTTTTTTTACGACGTTAAGAATGGACACACTGGCGCAAATAATTCGGTGCGACGGTGCAATTTTCGCCTTGCGAAATATTCGTCGACTCAAAGTCTTTGGCGTACGAGGAGCAACAAACTGGCGCGAAAATTTCGCTTGGCGACAACGAAACCAGCGAATTTTATTTCTTTCGCRACCAGCCGTTTTCTGTTGTTTTMGTTGCGAATCAAAGATGGCTTCAACTGAAATGTTAATAGAGTTAGTGGAGAARTATCCGATTTTATACGATTTAAGTCATGAAGATTACAAAAATATAAGAAAGAAAGATAAGTTATGGGATAAAATTGGGCAAGAGATACATATTACAGGTAGGTATTTAATTTTGATACAAAAAATAGATATATTTTTTTCATATTCGTTTTTTATTGTATATTTTGAATTAATTCTTACTTGTTCTTTTTGTATCCTAATATGTAAATGCGATGATAGGAATTAATACTGTGGTATCATTGATTATTTGAATTAAAGAAATTAACGAAATTTTTCTCGAGTAGCGAATGCAATATTTGTTGCACGTCTTGGGTCCCTTTGTGCATTGTTAAATGCTCTTCCTATGTTGTTCTCAAACTTTGTTGGTGGTAAATCGGAATCAACAAAGTTGCAAAAATACACAAACGAGTATTAAAATTATCTTTCAGTCTGTCTGTTGTGGATTGCTTATATGGAAAAGGTCGCATTACATAAGGTTTCAAGGCAAACGCCTCATCCCCAACTAAAACAAGCGGACAAGGTTCATTTTATCCAGGAAGATTTTCATCGTCTGGAACATTCATTAAATTAGCTTCAAATCTTTGTCCCATATTCGAATTTTCGAATATGCCCCCATCACTATTTTTGCCATAACGCCCGATGCCCACACAAATAAATTTATAGTCAGCACTAACGATCGCCATCAGTAATATAGATAATTTTTTTAATTAGCAAAAATGATTTGATCCAGTTTTCGGTGGGCATTTTATTGTGACATGTTTGCCATCAATACGGCCAATACAGTTTGGAAATTGCCACAATCTTGAATATTATTCTGCAGAACTTTCCCATATTTCTTTGGTCGGCACTGGTAGATAAAGCCCCATTCTTGTACATATAGCTTCACACACTTCCTTTACAATCAGACCAACTGTAGATAACCCAACACGATAGCTGTGACCTATTGTACTGAAGCTGTCTCCAGTAGCTAAAAATCTAAAAAAAAAAATGTTTTAGGTGAAGAAGCCAAGAAAAAGTGGAAAAATTTACGTGATACGTATGTCCGAATTATAAGGTTAAGCAAAACAAAAACGGGACAAGCTGCAAAACAAAGCAAAAAATGGCAATGGTCAAAGCACATGGAAAATTTCCGACCATTTCTGACTTTTGCAAAAACTTCTTCAAATGTGCCTGAATACTTAAGTCAAACAGAATCTAATAAAGTAGTAAATGTGAATGATAATACACAGGAGACAAATATAAGTCAAGAAACGAAAACTGGCGATTTTTGTGAAACCTTGGAAAGTAATGCTGTTACACGTACTGATAGGAGTGATGATAACGCAACACCCTCTAGAACATCAAAAAAACAAAAGAGCACAAAGTCATCGACTCCGAAAGCAACATCTTCAGTGGAAGCAGTAATTAGCTATTTTGAAAACAAAAAAGCAACTGAAACAAAGGATGATCTCGATTTATTGTTCTTATCATACGCACGTACCATAAAGAAATTTTCCGGTAAACGTCAGGTCGAGACAAAATTGCAAATTGCGCAAATTATTGCCTATCAAGAAATAATGCATTACGAAGAGGAGTCCTCACAGCAGTCACAGCAACAAGTATTGAAATCGTACATGGATGTGTCTAGACCGTCAAATTCCGACAGTTACAACTCTGATTTCAATGAATAAACCATCAAACTCAGATTCGGCCGCTGATTAACACCCTTTAATCCTTATAACTCAAACTTGTAGTTTTTTTAAAGAAAAATATACTTACCTCAAAGTAATAGTCTTTCTTCTGCTGAAATAGGTTCTCGTAAATTGGTATATCGTTTTTCGATGTCATCTTTAATTAAGTTTAACATTTCATCGAAACAAGCAATGTCGATTCTGAAATATTTATAAAAACGCTTCATCTAGTTGCAATGGCATGAGTGTATGCAATTCAAAATGTCATGAGTCCATGTAGTTGTAGTAGTAGTCCTGAGAGCTTTTTTATAAAAAAAACACCAACTTCAGCACAAAATGTTACTTTTTATTACTTAATTGACGTCAAACATTTTCTTGTCCTATAATATTCCTGACAATAATACTATTGCTTCTTCTTCAGAGCTTGAAGAATCCATCTTTCTATATAATCAATTAAAAAATATATCTTGTAAAATTTTTGCTCAAGTGTACCCACTAATTTTGACTGCTTACGTGTCGCGAAATATTCGCGCAAATGTGATAGGAGAGACGAATTTTTCTACGGCATATGTCGCGAAATATTCGCTTTGTTGTCGCGGCGAATTAATTCGCGTCAATGTGTGCATTTCTTAATACCTAAATCATTCGAAATTATCGAAATTGTATTTTTCAAGTTACGGCTATTCATGGGATAACCTGGAGATGTACCCCCTATTCAAGGGATAACCGATAAAATAACAGTGTTCCAAAGGTGTAACCTGAAACCGTAGTTATAGCTAGCCGATTAAACCGGTTCTTTTTGGAACCGTCTCACAAAACCGAAACAGTTGAGCGTACTTCGCACCAGCGGCAGCCGTTTGCCGATTAAGAGGCTTTTCGCACGGGCCACCCTGCAGCGCCTCTCGGTGGCACTGCTGAGAACCTCACGTTAACCTGAAGTGGCTCGGATGAACGCCAACATTTGACCCAATGTATCGCTATCAGTGGCGCTTCTTGGCGGTAGTCAACCACTGAACGCCACAGAAGCGCTGTAATGTAAATCAATGGCTCTTACTGTTCAGTTCTCCAGTAACCATAGTCATTCAGATCAGCTGCTGCGATAAGTATTTAGTTTTCTGGCATTCTGTAATGAATCTTAAAAAAAGATATTTATTAAATGTTAATTTATTTTTAAATGAAAATGAAATTTTTAAACGTTTTCGCATATAAACCGTATATTTTATTTAATCACTCTAGTTTATTATCAGTTTTTTTGTTCTTTAAGTAGTTACTTCTGACCCATGTTTTGTTTTTGATTTTGGAATATTTTATTTTAAGTTTACCAATGTTAAGAGTTATGTTTTTAATAAAGAAAATCATTATATACCATCACTATTTCTACTATTATCATCATTCTGAATTGTGAATGGAAATTTTCAAAAGTAACATGATCCTTTTGCAAACGCGTTTTGAAACCTATTACCAAGGTTGAACTGGAACGCTGTAACCCGTTACAGAAAAATAACAATTTATCACAACTCTAGTACCTATAGTGTACGGTATATTCAGGTCAATAGTAGTTCCTCTTAGAGGGATATTGAGCAAAACCAAGTAAACGTAAGCAAATGATAAACAGAAAGAATATAAGGTAATAAAAGAGAAGGAATATAAAATGATCAACAGAAGGAAGAAATATAAATAGGTATTAAGGAAATTATAAATTAATACTAGAAAATATAAATGTAGTCTGTACGCACGCTATAACGTTGGTCGCACATCATGCGACGAAATTTGACTACCAACATAAAAGCAGTAGTGAATGAAATTTGTGTGTTAAGTCAAATCTTTTTTGTTGTGTTTTGGGCATTGGAGAACCTCAAGCAATCATAAAATACCAAAAAACTTTGGAATACTACTCAAGTTAAAGCGATGTTGATTATTATGTTTATCTTTAAAATTATTAGGTGGGTGAAAATTACAATGCTACCGAATCGATCGTAGATTTATCGGAAATTCTTTAATAATACATGACGTTTGCTTGTTGCATTTGTCATGTACTTTTGCGTTGACGGTATATTTGTGCTTTTCAAAGAAACCATTATTTCATGAAAAATAATCATCAAAAGCGAAATAACATTGAGATAATTTAAGAATGCTTATTGTGTTTATGTTTATATACATAATTTATGGCGAGTATGGCAACAACGCTTGACCGACGATTGGTGACGTGCGACCAAAGTTATAGCGTATATTGTATATAGATATTCAGCTACAGTCAAAAGAACTACTTATTTCTACAGGCTACAAATTTCTCAAAATGCCGCAACAAGAGCTCCTTAGGTCGAAAGCAGTCAAAATCGCGATTTTCTTGTTATTTTTGGATTGGGTTCGACTTGCGGTGGTGCCGGTACTACCGACAGAACACAAGATAGAAGAGTTATTGACAAATCCATACATTTTCAGGTTTTGACGAAGACGATCTGGTTGACACGGAGCAGACACGCCCAGAGGAAAATCGCTCATTTGAGGATCTCGAGGGCAGTTCCGGAAATTCCCCGGCCAATCCAGAGGTGAGTGCTGTTCGCTTAGCAATGGAAGATTTCAACCAGCCGTTTCCATTTGCAGTTAGCCGAAGTGCGAGGAAGTCACAACTTTTCGCCGAATCTCGCTGAGGTGATTGGCGGCGCCTTTCTAACTGATTTGGATTCGCCATTCGACGAGCATTCGCCCGAGAGACCGCAAAGCGGAGAAGGGACAGAAAACGCCGCCAACGTGAGGGCTTATTTGCATCATTAAAACGGCAACCGTGGTTATCGGTTTGGTTTGTTCAGGTGGAGGCGTTGTCTAGTGAGGGCCAAACCATTGCTCCTCATTATGGCGGCATTCCGGGGGCCCAGCCCACGCCACCCCCGGAACCATCCCCCACCGGCGTGTCGGAATACCCGAAAATCAAGATCAAAACGACTGGACTGTTCAAGGACCCGGAACCGAGAAGCGGTTGTACCATCACAGAAATCACCGAATCTGATTCATCCGACGGTCCCAGTTCAAGTAAGGAAGTTGACAATTGTTTTAAATGAGAACCGTTTCGGACCCCATCATCAGACACATCCAGTAGAATAATGCCTGTTCTTGAACAGCCTACTCGTTTCCAGGCAGCACTAACAATGCCACGCCCGTATGGCCCAATCCTGGGATGGATGATCCCCTGAAGCTGCCAGATAGCGAGAACCTGCTGTCGATGTTCAACAGCGACAGGAGCAACAAGGATATTGGATATTCGACGGGGACTGATAACGAATTTATATCGCTGGACACGTTTAATGAACGCAACTGCAATGCTATGGTGAGTTTCTGCTGCTGCGCGTGGGTGTTTTTTGAGCTGATGCCTTCTTATGGCACGGTGTGAGTGAATTGGAATGCGTTACGGCGTCGTTACTCGACATGTGGCTGCGCAGTTCCATCTCGCACGCACACGGCGGCTCAGGAAAGGCACATAGTCGCTCGGCGCACGAGCGACTATGTCTTTTCTTCTTTCTTCGACTAATTTCTTCTCACGCATACGGTGACAAACCGGTAAAAGAATAAGCCAAATTCGACTCTCTGMCCGCGCGTGAGTCTAAACACCGTTACCTCACCCTGGCTGACCGGGGAATATCAGATCTGGGTCTAGACCTCGGRTTGTCTACGTTTTTCGATACATATGAAAGCTGCTTTGCCTGCTCGATAATCAATTTGCTATACAGGGTGTCCCGAAATTGTCGGTCAACAATGATAGGGCGTACAGAAGAGCTGAAAATAAGGCCAGTACCATATATAAAAAACGGAAAATTAAATATATCCTGACGGATTTCGGAATTGAAAATATGTCGGGCGTTTAGCGTTGACATCTTCTACAGGGAAAATTAATTTGGATTCACGTATTTCCACGTCGGAACGTTGGAACGAGCAGCAACATCGGGAACTATTGAGAGAAAAAACCGACAATTACATATTTTCCGATGGATTTCGGAATTGAAAATTCCTCGGGCGTTTAGTTTTTTAATCTTCTACATGGAGAATTAATTTAGAATCACGTAGTTATAAAAACAAATTAGTCAATTATTGTAGGAACGTTGGAACAAGCAGCAACATCGGGGACTATTGAAAGGAAAAACCGAAAGTTAAATATTTCCCGATGGATTTCGGAACTGAAAATTCGTCGGGCGTTTAGCTCTGACATCTTCTACATGGAAAAATTATTTAGAATCATGTTATTATAAAAATAAATTAGTCAATTATTGCCGGAACGTTGGAACGAGCAGCAACATCGGGAACTATTGAAAGAAAAAACCGACAGCTACATATTTTCCGATGGATTTCGGAATTGAAAATTCGTCGGGCGTTTAGTTTTTTCATCTTCTACATGGAAAATTAATTTAGAATCACGCTGTTATAAAAATAAATTAGTTAATTGTTGCCGGAACGTTGAAACGAACAACAACATCGGGAACTATTGAAAGAAAAAACCGACAATTACATATTTTCCGATGGATTTCGGAGTTGAAAATTCGTCGAGAGTTTAGCTTTGGCATCTTCTACATGGAAAATTAATTTAGAATCACGTTGTTATAAAAATAAATTAGTCATTTATTGCCGGAACGTTGGCACGAGCAGCAACATCGGGAACTATTGAAAGGAAAAACCGAAAGTTAAATATTTTCCGATGGATTTCGGAATTGAAAATTCGTCGGTCGTTTAGCTCGTTAGAAAGAAAAATGGGAAAATTAAATATTTAGAGGACGACATTTTTGAGCAATCGATTTTTCGGCAAAAAGTTGCTAGAAAATGAGCAATTGCAGGGGCCTCTATTAAAAATTGGCCAAAAATCATTCAAACCCGGGTGTGCATTGCTACGTACCATCAACATAGAGCAGTCATTTCTTTATGAAACAGTGTGAAAATCACCCTCTAAAACTTTTTCCAATTGATGTTTTAGAGGGTTGATTTTCGCCGGATAGGCATTTGCAAATACCCCTTTTAAAAATTCGCCAAAAATCGCCACTTTATTTAACAGTTACAGTAACACAAAAGAGTAGTTTCTTAATATAACTGCATACAAGTTAAGCTTGTAGTTTGACCCATTTTTGAGCAATTGGTTGCTATTTATAGCAGTCATATATTTTTTTAATGAGCGTTTGCAAGTGCCTCTTAGAAATGTGTCAAAAATCGTTCAATTATGCTTGTTAATTGCAAGTTTCCAGTAACATAAAGCTGTAATTTCTGTATAAATTAGCGCAAAAATTAACTCTATTTTTTGGCCATCGATAGCTGTAAAATGGCCAATTAATTGGCCGAAAAATTAACATTTTCGGGACTGCAACTTACCAATCTTTAAAAAAGTAATTTTCCTATCAAACTGCATAAAAAAATTACCTTTTATTTTTACTTATTTCTGAGCGTTTGATTTCTAGACGATGCGTTAAAGCAATGGTTGTCCGAAAAATGGGTATTGAATGTCTACATCTGATTTAAAAAATCGAAGAAAATTGTACAAAAACGCCACTTTATTAATATCTACTCACAATATAGAGCTATAATGTCTTTGTCAAATAGCGCAACAGGCATCGCCCTAGCTTCATTCAATTCTGAGCAATGGATTTTTATGCTAATAATTGGAAAAATAAATTTGCGATTACAATTATCTCTTACAAAATTATTCAAAAATTGCTGGTCTATTAAGAGTTATCAAAAATATCGAGCTATAACTCCTTTCTAACACAGGGTGAAAATCAGCCCTCAAACTTTATCCATTTCTGACCAACAAATTTTTATGCAACGCAATAATTTGAAATAAAATTGCACAAAGAATGGGCGTTTGTAAGTCTGTGGTTTAAAAATAATTCGTGCAAATTTGCTGAAAACGCTACTCTATTACGATTTACCAGAAACATAGAACATTAGTGCAGTAAGCAACTTTCTAGCTGCATCAGTTTCTGAGAAATTGATTTTAAATATAAAATAACTGCAATATATCGAGCATTTATTAGCAAGTGCCTCAGTTATTATTACTTACCTATTGGCCCTCATCAGCTGGGGTTAGCTCGAAATTAGTTGTTATAATTGTTTGGCGGTCGCTAATAGGCTCGAGACCGGCCCTGGGTTTGCCTGAGGTTGGATGGTTGAGGTTAGAGGTCGCAGCTTGCACTATCTTATAAGATATTATGTTTAAGACATCGATGGTGTTTTACCTCGCTTTAACGTCTCTCTTGAACCAAGCCTACAGATGTATAGACTTTTCCGCCTAAATGGTTCGTTCTCAATTAGAGCTTGATCAGTATCAGGACCTGATAGAGTCAGAAGTGAAGTGTGGGTTGATTATTTCATCCACATCCGTTTGTTCATTCCAAAGCAGCCGAACATCCTCAAGACCGATTTTAATTTGCAGCAACTGTACAATCCATCCAGCAGCAGCGCAGTTGCCACCACTTCCTCACTAGACAGTCTTACTGGATTACCGATGCAGGCGTTGGCACAGCAGGTTTCACGGCTCAATCCCTCCGCCGGGCAAGGGCTGCATCAGCAGAACGTGCTTATCAACATCCAACAGTTTCCTACTCAGCCACAGCAACAGTATCAGGCCCCGCATGGGCAGATGCCTCAGCATCAGCCCATGTACCCGGCTCATTACCCTGCCCAGCCCGCCATCCACCAACCTTATGGATACCAGTACGTATAAATCCATTATATTCAACCATGGGGGTCTCGGTAACCATACAAGATTTGAGATTGTTTAGAGAGTTTACCAAAATGTTCTTTTTTTTTTATTTTAAAACATTCTTCTGCTTCCGGAGATATCCGGGAAAAAAACTTAAATTTGAAAGCTAGTTTGGCGCGGAAGTTTAAAATTAATAATTCCTTACCATTGCAACTTTTTCTCGTCTACAACGTTGCCCTGTAACTCAAATCCGAGTTATGCTTCTCGACAACCATCACCAACTTATTTCCTGGCAGGGTCATCTCCAACAATAGGCACATACGTTGGCCGGCAGAATCACCAGACCTTGTCCCTTTAGATTATTATTTATAGACAATGAACGACAACAGGAGCGACAGATGGTGACGCCGAATAGCCCCCTCCTTTGCGTCAGCATTGGGTGATTGAAGTGCGGGTTTCGCGGTCGCTTACTTCAGCCTGAACCCAGCTGATGAGAACTGATAGGTTCGCAAACGGTCCGGGGGGTGCCTGAGGTTAGCAAACCTCGAAATTTGCATTGTCTTGTATGGGGAATCTATGAAAATCTTTATTTATAAATTTCTAATTGCCGGTATTAATGACCTGTGAGGGAAGATCGTCACAACCTTCAGGACCAAAACTAGGAGACGCTTTAAGATCGATTCAAAATGATTTAGGTAAATGTATAATACAATTTTTATCTTTTTATCTGCTCAAACAAATACCAATTGGTTAACCAAAGAGTGAACGCTTTCCAAAGCATTCTTTGCAAAATAGATTTTTGGATATTTTCACCAAACTGCAAGACTGAACATTAACATGTAATCCATCATCCAGATGACGCCCATAAGAAAAAACATAGTTGATGGTTGTCGAGAATCCATAAGTCGGATTTTAAATATAAAATGCAACGTTTTAGAAGAGAAAAAGTTGCATTTATGAAGTATAATTCATTTTAAATTTCTACGCCAAATAAGCTAAGGAAAAAATTAACTTTTTTCGAATTACGGTTTTTTCCAAATTTTTTTTCGAATCCACCGAAAGCAGCTCAAAATTTTTTTTTCCCGTTTTAACCGAAACCTTTTCCACTTTTAGACTAAGCAATTTTTTTAAAATATTCGTGTCTATTGAACCGTTTTTCATTGATGGGTTCCTTTTCCGGCGCGAAAAATTGTAGCAAACTACTTTTTGATCAAAAAATTGATTTTTTTCTATTGACTGAGCCGATGTTCAACTTTTGAGCCGCCTAAGCTTTCCGTAGGATTTTTCGAATAATTCGTGCACTGTGTTCTTGTCAATTTATAGCCTTAGTTTCTTTGACGCAAATTGCCGTTTGAGCAACAGTTAGAGACTTAATAGCGTAAAGTTTCCTCAATTGAACGAGCCAATTCTCAGCGTCCTAACTTGACCCGCTTTTACTTTAAACATTTTGGACAAATTCGTGTGCACTGCGCTTCTGTTTTGGCAATTTACAGCTTCCGTTTCTTTAGTGCACGAAATCGTCGCAGACTTAAATTTGAGCAACAATTTGAGGGTTTAAAGTATGCCTGGGAATTTTTAGGAGCTGATGCAGTGTTGCGCAAATTGCTTGGTGCGCCAACTCAACGAACCGGCGCAGTAACTCATTTCCGAGTTCTGTTGCGCTGGGAAATAGTTACTTAAGCAGGAATTTGAGGATTTATGTATAGGAGCCCTCTATTGAGTGAGCAAATGTACAGCCTCTTGGCTTTACTGGTTTTCTAGTCACTATTTTTCACTCTGCACTCTAAGCAATTTCAATATGCAGGTGCTCTTACTAGGAAAATACCAGAGATTTGAGAACACTCTGATATCACACGCTGAAATCCCGCACGAACAGCACGATGTCCAAAAATGTGTGCAAAACTTAGCAGTTCGTTACCGTAACGCAAACCCTGCAGGTTTCAACGTTCCACTTTGCAACGACTGGAACGGGGCGCTCCAATCGCACGCGATAAGAGCGTAAGTGTAAAGGCACCTATAAGCCGAGTTCTTATGAGTTCTTATGAGAAAATAACTACCTACTCAGTATAGCACTCCCAAGACCTTCTCTTTTAAAGATCAATATACCTATTTAATAACAATTGTTATCATTGTATACTTTAACTCTACAATCAGAAAATATAATTGTAATATCAACGTATATGAATAATTGTACAGACTGTACACGCAAGGCGACAAATTAAAAAGGCAAATAAACGAATGAAACAGAAATGTGAAAATCATACTAAGACTTATTAAGCCCAAAAAACGGAACAGACTGTACAAGTACAAAAAGACGACGGCATCTAAACGAATTCCCGGTGTAGCACAGTGCACAGAGAAGAACAAAGGAACAAAGTGGACATGGACAACTAATAACATACAAACAAGATTATTAATTTCTATAAATTAGCAACCCAAACCAACAAAAACAGACCATAAGATCAGATGAAAATACAGTTACTTTAAAGCAAAAAATAAAATGTTTAACCGCCACAGCAATTTGTTGAAATGGTCTAGAATATCATCATATCATAATCATTGCCGTAGCAAGCTTAACTTCCTTAGCTTCCTTCCTTAATATCTTTCTTACAGTTAAAAATATGAAAACTTGGAAAGACCCGTCAATTTTATTCCCAGGGCGGACACTTTAAATTAAAATTTTTAGCTTCCTTGTTTCACCTCCATAGGATGGGCAGATGTCACCCTTGGAATACAATACAGAATCTTAAATCGGAAGGGGGGTCAAGTGGCACACGTTTTAAAGGGCATTCAATTATCTTTACATTAGTTACTACTTGGTTGCTTTGTGTTCAGATGTTTCCGAATAATCGCGTTCCAAAGTTGTAGAAACAATTAAACTTGCCTGCAGTCACATTTTGGTTTTCAGGTTATTGTTTACACAAAAACGATTGCGTTGGCTCTCCTTGTAATACAAATGATTAGAAGAGTAGGTTACACTGTTGAAATTGTTGAATAACAGGAAGAAAATCTAATTTAAACATTGATTTATTATTTTTTATTTTGACCTTAATTCTTAATTTACATCGACAAAAATAAATTTCTACATTAAAACCTATGGGACATACTTAGGTACTATATTATAAGTTGTTCAAATGTTGTCAATTTTCCTGTAAACAATAATGAACTCGTTTTTTGAACTCTAACATTTTAGAAAACTGCACCGGAATTGAGCGGCATTCTGCTCCAATTCGATTTTTAAGATCATCAATATCAGCAGGTTGTGTTTTATAAGCAATGGAATTCAGATGTCCCCAAAGAAAGAAGTCTAAAGGTGTTCAATCCGGTAATCTTGGAGGTCATTCAATTGGTCCCTTACTACCAATTGATCTATCCGGGAATATTTTATCCATGTTAGGGAGAGTTCAAAAATAGAATTTATTATTGTTTACAGGAAAATAGACAACATGTTGAACAACTTATAAGATTGTAAGTAGATCCCATGGGTTTTAGTGTAGAAATTTATCTTCTGTAAATAAAAAGTTATTTTTCGCGATGTAAAATAATCAATAAATCTGAAATTAATTGTTTAAACTAGATTTTCCTCCTGTTATTCAACGATTTTAACGATGTAACATAATTTTTGTTTAAACACAAATCTGAAAAGCAAAATCTCAATGCAAGCAAGTTTAATTGTTTCTGTAACTTTGAAACGCGATTATTCGAAAACCTCTGGACAAAGACCAACAAAGTATTACCTAACGTGAACATAATTGAACGGCCGATTTTCGAGCGCTGAAATATACGTTTTGTAGTGCAGGATGTAAACTTTTCAAACCGTTTTTTGAAATTATAATCGGCTTGCGGTATACAGGCCTTCCGGAAGAAGACAAACTGCAAACTTTGAATCGCGATTTTGAGAAAACGAATCTTTCGCCACCAGCCGCCGTTGGCACATATAAACAACATTACAATCCCTCAAAACTTTAGAGCGCCAACTCAAAAAATGACCGAGCTATAAATTTTCAAAAAAACGCCCAATTTTCCGGTTCTTCCTAAATTTCTCAGAAGGCAATTATCCGATTGAGGTGTTCGACCTCTCATTTTGTAGATATTTCTATTCTCTACAAATTATCTCGTTGGGGCATTTCGATTGCTCCATTAGTTTTAAAGTTATAAACAAAAAAAGGGAAAACACGTTTTTTTTGGAATAATTTGATAATAATTAACATATGGACCGGAAGTGCGAGTGGAAAACACATATTGTCGCGCTCACAAAAGGCTACCCGCTATTTGCGCTACGACGGTTCTATTTCCAAAGAAACTGGTTCCGGGGTTTTCCAATGCTGATCAATTTATTTTAAACAGATTTGGTTCGTTACAACTTACAACTTGTCTTTCTGTTAAATCAAACTCAAACTTCTCTAAACTGTCAAGAGTCACCAAAACGGAGCCTTTTTCTACCTGCCCTCTTAACAATAGTTTCCATAGTTTCCGACACATATCTATTCATCTGCTCATCGTCTTTTATACAGAGTGTTTCAAATTTGGCGTCATTCCTTTTAAGGGGTAATAGGGGCTCACTTGGAAGGAACGAAAAAAATATTTAAAAAAAATTTCGATAATTTCTAGAAGATTAACAGTTGAAAATCGAATTTCAACTTTGTTATTAAGCATTATTTTGAAATTGGTTTTGGTTTTTTGGTCTGTTTGCTGTCTATCAATCGTATCTATCTTGCAAGACCAAGACCAATGCCAGTCGCTTTGATCACTAATAATGTTTTTCAAATAAATTTTATAAAATGTTTAACGGGATGTATCACCATTAATTATAATTCAAAAACTACACCACTTTGTAGAATGAAATCAACAATACTTTCAATTTAATTTTTAACAACGCTGTTAAATCCACTAAAAAGTTTATGGAAAACAAACTATTTCGAACGAAACGCGTAGCCGGGCATCAAATCAACGAACGTTTTTCTTCGAACGTTGAAGCGATTCCTTTGACTCGCTCAAAAATACCGACAAA